GGTTGGACCAATTGGGTTACCCAGTTCAGCACAACTCATAATGCATTACAGCAATTAATGTTTGGTATGAAGCATTTAATGGTTACTGCATTGTGTCACTTCAAAGCTTTAGTGGCCATTTAATACAAAATGTAGTTCATATTTGAATTTGAATTGTGTTTTAATTTCGAAGTGTACCAGTGCTGAAAAGATTTGCATTTAAATGAACTGTACTAAAAATATTCTTGAGCCGCACAATAAGATTTAATGGTACAACGCCATTAAATGCCCTTATTTAATGGTCATTGCCTACTGGGTATTATTCTAACTACTTCACAGCATCATGTTCGGGTTTCAGTATAAATAGATCACCTGAGTTCATTAATTTTTCATTCCACCTTCACACAACCTACAACATATTTTGCAATGGCAGAAAATCAAGGAATGTATTCATTTCTCAGGGATGTTGACCACACTAAACACACCTGGGCAATTAAGGTCAAGGTAGTCAGGGCTTATGAAATGCCGCCACAGTCCAGGGGAGGACAACGTTTGGAAATGGTTTTCGTTGACACACAAGTAAGCTGACACAATACTCTTTACAAACGCTGTTTCATTCTTCATGAAAACCTAATGTTTGTTTAAGGGCATTTATTCTCCTTGCAGGGTGACAAAATTCATGCAGTAATAAAGAGGCCACATTTTCGGAGGTTCAAGTCATTCATATGTGAAAATAAGGTTTATACTATTAGAGATTTCTTGGTGATGGATAACTACCATACCTACAAAGCCACCACCCACGCCTACTTGATTGAATTTTATGGGAAGACCGTTCTGAAGGAAATAAAACCAGAGGCTGTTCCAAACTCGGTCTACGAGTTCCAGGAATTTGAAGTCATACAATCTCTACGAGTGGTCGATGACAAACAACTGATGGGTAACCTTTTATACGTTTTATTTTGTAATTATAACTTATAACTTATACAGTCTTAAAAAAGAGGTCTTTGTTTGAAGATGTTATTGGAAAGGTTTGGAGCAAATGTACTCCTCAAAATCATGTGATTAATGGAAAACCAGAGAGACTTATGGAGCTCACTCTTGAGGATGCAGAGTGAGTTTTGGTGTTCAGAACACATTCATTTTAGCGCATGTTCAATAAACACCCGTATTTGACTTCTATTTTACAGGGGGAACAGGCTGGGATGCACCCTATGGAACAACTACATAAACCAGTTCCTAGAATACTATGAAGCTCACAAAACTGAGCCAATTTATGTCATTGTGCAGATGTGTAGGCCTAAGCGCTACCGAGGTGATAGCGCCATGAACTATTTTATTACCTATAAAATTTAGATTTTTACTGAATGCCTATTTTTCAGGTACGATATCAGTGACTACATCTTATGATGCAAGCAAGTTGATATTCAATGGGGACACAGAAGAACTGATCGAGTTTATGCACAAGTACGCACCAAACATTTAATATAACAGATGGAAACAGATTTATATAATCGATATAAAAACTGCACTAAAACTTTTATATGCCTCACAGCTTTCCAGGGGACGATGGGGAAAATGCAACTTTGACTACATTCACTGCGAACTCGCAGATTGATAGTCGTGAAGACATAAGAGGGGGAAATGTGACCATTACTACAATTTCTGAACTACTTAAGAAAATTGAGGTGAATTGTTAATCTTTTTACAAGATTAATGATGATGTACTATCCTATTTAACTTTTTGTTTTACAGGAGGGAGTTTACTGGATTTTGGGTGATGTTGTCTCAATTGAAAATTTTAGAGAATGGTGCTATCTTAGTTGCAATACCTGCAACAAAAAAGTCACCGCTGAAGAGGATAGGTTCAGGTGTATTTAATGAAACATGACACTTCCAGAGGGTATTCTGAGGTACTTCTGTCATCGGGTTTAAAAGTGTGGTTTGTGAATTTAAAATGCAAGAAATCATAAATATTTAAATCGCAAATATCAAGCAGGTACAAAGTGACTGTGTGTGTTATGGATGAAAGTAGTCATGGATCTTTTACCATTTGGGACAGGGAATGTATTGACATTCTCGGAAAAACAGCAGCAACCCTAAGAAAGGAAGTAGAGAAGGTATTGCATTTACTTTAAAAATTAATTTTTATTAGATCAAAATATTTACTTAAATTCTAATGACTTTATGTGTTTAATATGTAATAGAGAACTGGAGACACTACTCATTTTCCTGAGGACATAGAAGCCATCATTGACAAAAGAGCATTATTCAAAGTTCAACTCAAGGATAGGGGGGAGAGCAGTTCATACAGAGGATCCATATCCTATGGAGTTATTTCAATGATAAGGGAAGCAAATATTTTAAAAATTTATGAAGAACAAATGCCAAAGGAAAAGGGCTTGATGAACTCTCTGATGTAGAGAAGGTATACAAACAGACAAATAGTACAATTTGGGGGAAGCTACAATTTAGAATCCTAATAAAAAGCAATGCTTTGCAGACTGGATCAACTGGAAACAACTTTGGGGGAAGCACAACACGCACTAAACCTGTTGATGTTGTTGATTTAGAAAAGGTATGATATGGTAACTGTTTTTAGGTTTTAAGTTTTGGCATTGACAAAGAAAGAGAATTTAGCTAATTTGGATAAAATATATCATGTGGACCAGGAAACTGAAGATGGTGTCACACCAACGCAGAGTAAACGTGGAAGGTTGGAACTTGAAGAAGATGAATCACTTAAAAGGAACTTGTTGGGGGAATTTTCTACTAATAGCAAGAAGTTGAAGACTAAAATTAAGCAGGAACCTAAATAAACCCCGACTGTGCGACTAAAGGATTGAAGGGCATATGTTTTTGCTTAAACTATGAACGGATGTCTGTTTAAAACTATATGTCTGAAACTCTAATTTTTGCTTAACTATAACTCTCTGAACTGGCTGCTTTGTTCAGTCAGGATGTGGTGATGTTGATTTTTGCTATCGTTTGCCACGAAGTTGGTAATGAATGGAGGTAGAATATGAGAAGTTATAACAGTGACATGACAATTATATGCGAAATGGTGTGTTATATTTGTTTTTGCAGGTGTTCATTGATCGGCTGAGAGAGGCATATTATTATATGACAAACTGAGGGACCAAATGAGGGCTACTACAGGAAGGGACTTCAAACTTAGGACACTTAGGATGGGAACTTCACAAGTTATTACAGCAGGGTTACATGTTCTCTAGATTTATTGCTAATTAGGACACATTGTAATAGCAATCACCGGATGTAGTATGGAATCAGTTTTAGTTGTAGTTTTTGTTTGTATTTGAAATTCCACTAATTCCATTTCTATTTTGTAATTTATAATTTGTATTTTCTAATCTCAAAGCCTAATTTCTAAATTGCAAGTAAACATAATTCACCTCTAATTTAATGATATAATAAATAAAATTTAATGGAATAAGTATATCTTTAAATAATGAAAAGCGAACTGGTCAGGGATGGTTGTTTCATACCTGGATTAGTTGGCTGCCTAAGAAGACCTGCATTCCCTAATTTTATCTAATTAATTAATTATTACAGACCCAAAAAACTATTACATTATTGGCAACCTTCTAAATGTTCCAGAATCTATGGCCTATACATTTAATGATATCTATATCTATATGTTATTTTATGAAATCAAAATTCCATATGGACACCCCAAACCTGCAAAATATAATGACAATAACATTACCTAAAAACTTATATTTAAGCAATGTACATATGAAGACTTATATTATATATATATATATATATATATATATATATGTGTGTGTGTGTGTGTGTGTGTGTGTGTGTGTGTGTGTGTGTGTGTGTGTGTGTGTGTGTGTGTGTGTTTATATATATATATATATATATATATATATATATATATATAAACATATATACACAAATATTCATCAAATTAGTTCGTATATACATATAAATAAAAATTAATAGTTATTTTAAAAAATAAAATCATCAGATTTTAAAGACCCACAAATTATATGCAATGCAATGCACCGAAATGTATCAGAATTTCATTTATGACCAATAGAGCTTTGCTTTTATGATAAAACAACATTAAATGCAATGTACTACTAATCCTATGTCTCATTAAATGTCTCAGAATTGCAACTAATCCTATGTATTACTAAATCTATATTTAAAAAACATGTAATGTCTGGGATGGTGCATTAATGGCTTAACATCATTACATATCCACATCAAAACTAGGCAGGTACGGTTCTTATAGAATCTGCTTGATAAAATAATACAAATGTGACAATATTTTATTACTGAAAATAATATTATTACTTATTTCAATTATTTTAAAATTATCAGTTTTGAAAAATATAAAATAATGATTACAATATTCCATTTTAAGTAAATTACATGTTATTTGAATTATAGTTCATATTAGGAAATTAGTGAAAATATTAATTAAGTATATAAAGCATTGATGACAACAACATCTTGACATATCTATATATATAAACATATATACACAAATATTCATCAAATTAGTTCGTGTATACATATAAATAAAAATTAATAGTTATTTAAAAAATTAAAATCATCAGATTTTAAAGACCCACAAATTATAAAAATAACTGGACAGTTAAGGGCTCAAAAAAAAGTATTTAATGCAATGCACCAAAATGTCTCAGAATTTCATTGGGTTAACAATAGGCCTTACCTTTAATGATAAAACAGCATTTAATGCAATGTACTACAATATCTTTGGTCTCAAAATTGCAACTAATCATATGTACTACTAAATCTATATTTAAAAAACATGTAATCTCTGGGATGGTGCATTAATGGCTTAGCATCATTACATATCCACATGCAGGTACGATTCTTATAGAATCTGCTTAATAAAATAATGCAAATGGGACAGTATATTAATAATGAAAATAATATTATTACTTATTTCAATTATTATAAAATTATCAGATTTGAAAAATATAAAATAATGATTACAATATTCCATATTAAGTAAAATACATTTTAAATGGTAACAGTACATGTTATTTTAATTATAGTTCATATTAGGAAATTACTGAAAATATTAATTTAGTATATAAAGCATTGATGGCTACAACATCTTGACATATCTATATATATAAACATATATACACAAATATTCATCAAATTAGTCTGTGTATACATATATATAAAAATTAATATATGTTTTGCTACGTAAATACATATATAATGTTTGCTAATATTACTTGAAGTGCAACCTGTGGCATTTGGTTTTAAAAAAAGGCATCTACAAATCAGGGGCTTCAAATATTTAAAATAATTGTACCGCAGTACAAATTTTATACAGTTTAAAAAAAAATCAATTTTTTTCAAATTATTTTGCAATTAAAACTTCAATCTGTATGTGCTATAAGTAAAAAGCGCAGTATACTTATAGTTAGGATTAACTAATAAACAGATGTATGTTACAAAGGAAAAATAATCTATGCCACATAGCACTTCAAATTTTTTAGCAATTCTTTTTCTTCCTGAGTATGCTAGACGAGGTATTTTATATTTAAATTACCAAGCCTAGCATTAGGAATATAAATCCACACTTAATAAAAAACTGGACAGTTATGGGCTAAAGAAAAAGCATTTAATGCAATGTACTAAAACATCATTTCTCTCAAAATAGCAACTAATCCAATGTACTATTAAATGTATATTTTAAAAACACGTAATAATTCAATGGTGCAGCTCTCAAAACATTAATGTCTTACCATCATTACATATCCACAGGACAAGTAGGGTGGTTATAGAGTCTGCTCAATAAAATAATTGAAATACCATTGAGAACAGAACATGTACCATTGGACAGCATATATACAGGTTTAAAAGCATTTACAATCGGCTCTTCATCATTTATGAGCTCAACTCATTTATGAACTCAACAACCGCATTTACACTGGGCTGACATACAGAGAAGAATTTTGCATAACAACAACAATAAAGTCTGTTATGGGTTATTCTTTCATACTACAGAGGTATGTTTCAAATACATTTCCTAAAATGATATATGCAATTATGTGAAAAGTTATGTGAAGAATTTTTTTGATGATCAATAAAGACCCTTTATGCATTTTACAAATTTATCTTTGGACTCACAATTTATTTCATACAGTTACCTACAAAAATTTTATTTACAAAAGAAAATTAGGTCTGAAATGGTGCAGAGTTATGTTTCCAAATTAGATTTGAATAACCAACTGATTAGATAAGAAATAAGAAATAATATTCAGTTATTTGGAAAACTCTTGATCAAAATAACCAAGCTTAAAGAGAAAAATTATACTCCTTTGATGAAGAAAAAGATTATTTCTGATCACATTTCTTAACTTCCTATTTAAGATGATATGTTGTTCATGTACTACATGCAATTCACAAAAATGTCATGCATGTGGACTACATTCTGTTGGCTTTTTGTTGGAACCATGCTTTTGGTGTCATGCAAATTTAAGTCATTTTTACTGCATGGTGCCTGTAAACAAGAAAGTACCTAATAGGAACCTCTTATGCAAAGATGGTTCTGAATGGGTACATGCATGCCATCTATTACCTAGAAGATCTGGACGCACTATAACGTAACACTCAATGGGAAGTACTTCAATTATTACCTGATTGTGGGCATGTCTTTTGATTGGATGAACATAGCATGACAATTGTTCTCGGTGCATATAAATGTAATATCAGTAATGCATGGAAAGTTAAATATGTAATGCAAGTTAGTTTTTGGATTTTGGCAGTAATATTTATCGATGATATGTAATGTTAAGACATACTTCCTCCGTTTCTTAAAAGTTGCAACATTAGGATATTTGCACTATTCACACACCTTACTTTGACCACGATTTTCTATTAATATATAAAATCAAATTATTATGTATAAAATGTCATTAAATTTCTATTGATGTGAATTTTCAAAATATTAACTTTTTTATAATTTTTACTAATACGTAATTAGATATAATTAAAGTCAAAGTTGTGCATTGGCAAACGTGAAAGTCAAACTGTTGCAACTATTAAAGAACGGAGGAAGTATGTCATGAAGATATGTAATGAAATGGAAATATTTGGCAGAATTAAGTCTTAATTTGTATATTGTTGTCCACAAGGTTAAGACATGTGTTTGACAGATTGTATGTCGGAAGGTTTTATCATTCACATACAACTTCAACATAGAAGTATGAGTTGGCCTTATGCGGGCTACATGTATTAGGCTCAATGAACTGCCAGACCACGCACTTCCAAAGGCCACTTATGTGGTGACGAGCACTTTGTCACGGTGCGTCAAAATAAATTCAATACTAAACACTTATACGTAGTATATCGTAGTAGAGTTCGTATCCACAGGGAAAGGAATGATTTTCTTTTTATGAAACTAGTAATTAAAAGGGGGGTTTTGGTTTTGAGTGATTTAATTCAATTTAGAAACTAAGATGAACAACCTATATGTGTTTAATTCAAGAATAAAAGAGACTTGGCTTTGCTACTTTCCACTTGTTGATATATTTTAGTCGATCCTTGTTATATCTACAACTTATCTCCTCTCGAATACTCAATCGAGGAGTATCTCCAATTCATCGAGGGTAGTTATTAACAACGACCGTTCATTAATAACTCTTACTATTAATCAAATATAGAACAACGCCGTATACCGATATAATAGTAGCATTCAATCTTTTTAACTCCTTGATGAAATCAATTGAGATTGATAACCTTAACACAACGGTTTCGGTTTAACCAACAAAATTGATCCCTCTTAAGTCTATTAACCACGACCGTGCATTAATAAACCGAAGTTACTTACTTGTGAAACCACCAACGATTAACCATCGTTTTGTTGATCGTTTCTAGTAGTAATTAATGTCGGAACGTTAACTAATCGTCACTTAGCAACCCTCCAACATTAATATAGAATGAGATTAAGGGAAGAAATAATAATCAAGAGAAGAAGTTAAGAAAAACCAAGAATGGAGGTTTAGCTCCTCATTTGGAGACTAAACATAGCTAGAAAAATATAAAGAAATGCTATTCTAAATTGAGCTAAAGAGTATGGAAGAAAGGATGATGAAAAGTGAAGGAAAATAGGGTTATTTATAGGTGTTTTCAACACCTAATGCCGGATACCCGGCCGGGTATTTTGACATACCCGACCGGGTATTTACCAAATCAAATATTTTCCCATGTTTTTGTGTCTTCTGCACGTTCTTTGGTCCGAAATCACTTCATACCCGACCGGGTATATGGAATACCCGACCGGGTATTTGCTAGTTTTGCAGCAGTTTCCTTTGTCACTTCATACCCGGCCGGGTAAAGTCCACACCCGACCGGGTTTTGCACAAAACTCAGGTTTCTTCATCCTTTTTGCTTCCAACCATATCCTAAACTTATAGCCAAACTAACTACAACTTACAACAAACAATAAAATGCTAGAAATACGATTACAATCAAATGCAAACTAACAACTGTAAACTTGCACAAAACTAGTAAATAAACATTACAAACAATAATAAAAATGTATACTTAGGCACTAACAACTAGTGCCTATCAAACACTCTCACACTTGAACCTTTACTCGTCTCGAGTAAATTAAAACATGTCCATGAAATTTTCAAAAACCACAAGAGTAGCAGAACAACCATCCAACATTTTTTTGATTATCTTCTTGCATAAATAGATATTTTTCTCTCATTCTCTCATTTTGCCTAGAAACCTTTTTCAGGTTTTCATCCTAGCCTCTCTTTTTATTTTTATTTTTTTTCTCACAACTCACTCATTTTAGCCACTTTTGTTTAGATTGCCCATTTTTGGGGGGGTTTCAACCTAACTAGCATTTTTTTTCTTTTATTGTTTTTTTTTTTGTTTTTTTTTGAAGAAAAATAATGCAAGTTACAATGTAAAAAAAATGAGTACATACCAAATGAGTGCCTCCCCTACACTTTTTTCGAAACACTGTCCCTAGTGTTCGGCACCATGATCGTCGTCGTACCCTCCATAACCACCATCGCCACTAAGACTATGTTCACCGGAGCTAGAAACTCCCAATCGCCCTAATATGAGGGATAAAACCACATCGGTTGTTGTACTAGGTGGGCATGTTGGAGAAGTACCCTTGGTGGTCGAAGATATGTGTTCTTTTTTGTGCTTTTTTCGTTTTTTTTAGTGAATTCCAAAGTTGAGTTTGGGGGGTTAAGGAATTCGGTTTGTAGGGTATTTGGGAAATTTGGTGGGTTTTGTGTGTGTGGGTTTGGAAAGTAGGGCGAGGAGAAAAAAAATGACATTTTATTTTGGAGGTTTTGTGGTTGGAGAGGATGATGTGGATAAGAAGAATGTGGGGTTAATTTGGATGTTTTGGTTGAGATTGGAGTGGTTTGAAGTGTGGATGATTGTCAATGGAGGTTGAGGATTTGAGTTTGGGAGATTAGGGAAGAGAATGGGTGTTTTGTGGGCTGATTTGGGGCCAAATCGGACTGAAATCCCGATTACCCGGCCGGGTTTTAGTAATACCCGAATGGGTATGCTGTTTTTCGCTTGGCAGTGGCTGTTTTGGCCAAAAACCCGGTCGGGTTTTTGTAATACCCGGTCGGGTATTAGGCTATTTTTTGATTTTTTTCAGCTTTTTTTTTACCCGGTGGTTGTGTTGCCCGGGTATAATCCTTTTGTGCTGTTACCCGACCGGGTGTGGGATATACCCGGGCGGGTTTTTCCTCCCAGTTTTTTTTAAAGGTGTAAAGATAAAATAAAACAAGTAAACGTACCTTGCTTGGGTTGCCTCCCAAGAAGCGCCTTATTTAACGTCACGGCATGACGCCATCATTGTGTTCAGTCATTCAAACTTGGATCATGATAGTTTATCTTTTTCACACTTTCACTCCTAGGACGTTCATAGGAGTGCCCAACTTCTCGACTATTCAATTTGGGAATCTTTCCATGATCAAATATCCAAATTGTCATTGATTCATGCGGTGGGAGGAAAGGGAAGAAATTATCGTTTACTATGGTCAATGAAAAGTTTTTCGATCCCTCAATTTTGAAGAGGATTTCAGAAATGTCATTGTCCTTTCTAAGTTTATGAGTTTCCCTAAAAAAATTAGAATTGATGGGGGTACCTCAAAAGATGACAAAGATAGATATTTAACCTTGAAGCTCAGATTATCCTCTTCTTTGACCAGTTGGAGCTCCGTGTCTTTTTCTTCCTCTACTTCTTCTGGATTCTGGATCTCCTTTTGCATTTCCTCTTCATTTGTCAATGTGATTGCAAAAGTTTGCTGTTTAGGATCACATTCTAGTTGAGAAGGAGGTTTTTCTGAATCCTTTGCTTCAAGCCTACTCACGACTCCGGCTATTTGACTCATTTGAGTTTCCAAGTTCATAATGCTAGACTTGGTCTCATTTTGGAATTGCACCATGTTTTGTTGCATGGCGGTCACACTGTTAGTAAGAGCCCGAACCATGTCCTCTGTGGACATATTAGAGTTGGAGAATGGATCATACCTCATGTGAGGTACATCATCAATTTGTGCAAGGTATTCTTCTTGGAGCTTTGGGCAGAAGTCCGTAAGATGCCAGTGAGACATGCAAATGTTGCATGTTTTGACATCTTGAGCTTTTGAGTTAAAGATAGATTCCTTTATTAGAGAAGTCAAGAAGGAAATTTGACTCTCCAAGGATGAAGTGTTGGTATCCATATACTCATAACTCATGTAAGCTCAGAAAATAGAAGAGCAAGATTTTTTTTATATATAAATATATATATATATATATATATATATATTTTGTTTTTGATTTTTATGAGATAAAACAAAAAGAAAAGTAATTGCCTTTCCTCGGCAATGGCGCCAAATTTGACGAGCACTTTGTCACGGTGCGTCAAAATAAATTCAATACTAAACACTTATAGCATTCAATCTTTTTAACTCCTTGATGAAATCAATTGAGATTGATAACCTTAACACAACGGTTTCGGTTTAACCAACAAAATTGATCCCTCTTAAGTCTATTAACCACGACCGTGCATTAATAAACCGAAGTTACTTACTTGTGAAACCACCAACGATTATCCATCGTTTTGTTGATCGTTTCTAGTAGTAATTAATGTCGGAACGTTAACTAATCGTCACTTAGCAACCCTCCAACATTAATATAGAATGAGATTAAGGGAAGAAATAATAATCAAGAGAAGAAGTTAAGAAAAACCAAGAATGGAGGTTTAGCTCCTCATTTGGAGACTAAACATAGCTAGAAAAATATAAAGAAATGCTATTCTAAATTGAGCTAAAGAGTATGGAAGAAAGGATGATGAAAAGTGAAGGAAAATAGGGTTATTTATAGGTGTTTTCAACACCTAATGCCGGATACCCGGCCGGGTATTTTGACATACCCGACCGGGTATTTACCAAATCAAATATTTTCCCATGTTTTTGTGTCTTCTGCACGTTCTTTGGTCCGAAATCACTTCATACCCGACCGGGTATATGGAATACCCGACCGGGTATTTGCTAGTTTTGCAGCAGTTTCCTTTGTCACTTCATACCCGGCCGGGTAAAGTCCACACCCGACCGGGTTTTGCACAAAACTCAGGTTTCTTCATCCTTTTTGCTTCCAACCATATCCTAAACTTATAGCCAAACTAACTACAACTTACAACAAACAATAAAATGCTAGAAATACGATTACAATCAAATGCAAACTAACAACTGTAAACTTGCACAAAACTAGTAAATAAACATTACAAACAATAATAAAAATGTATACTTAGGCACTAACAACTAGTGCCTATCAAACACTCTCACACTTGAACCTTTACTCGTCTCGAGTAAATTAAAACATGTCCATGAAATTTTCAAAAACCACAAGAGTAGCAGAACAACCATCCAACATTTTTTTGATTATCTTCTTGCATAAATAGATATTTTTCTCTCATTCTCTCATTTTGCCTAGAAACCTTTTTCAGGTTTTCATCCTAGCCTCTCTTTTTATTTTTATTTTTTTTTCTCACAACTCACTCATTTTAGCCACTTTTGTTTAGATTGCCCTTTTTTGGGGGGGTTTCAACCTAACTAGCATTTTTTTTTCTTTTATTGTTTTTTTTTTTTTGTTTTTTTTTGAAGAAAAATAATGCAAGTTACAATGTAAAAAAAATGAGTACATACCAAATGAGTGCCTCCCCTACACTTTTTTCGAAACACTGTCCCTAGTGTTCGGCACCATGATCGTCGTCGTACCCTCCATAACCACCATCGCCACTAAGACTATGTTCACCGGAGCTAGAAACTCCCAATCGCCCTAATATGAGGGATAAAATCACATCGGTTGTTGTACTAGGTGGGCATGTTGGAGAAGTACCCTTGGTGGTCGAAGATATGTGTTCTTTTTTGTGCTTTTTTCGTTTTTTTTTAGTGAATTCCAAAGTTGAGTTTGGGGGGTTAAGGAATTCGGTTTGTAGGGTATTTGGGAAATTTGGTGGGTTTTGTGTGTGTGGGTTTGGAAAGTAGGGCGAGGAGAAAAAAAATGACATTTTATTTTGGAGGTTTTGTGGTTGGAGAGGATGATGTGGATAAGAAGAATGTGGGGTTAATTTGGATGTTTTGGTTGAGATTGGAGTGGTTTGAAGTGTGGATGATTGTCAATGGAGGTTGAGGATTTGAGTTTGGGAGATTAGGGAAGAGAATGGGTGTTTTGTGGGCTGATTTGGGGCCAAATCGGACTGAAATCCCGATTACCCGGCCGGGTTTTAGTAATACCCGAATGGGTATGCTGTTTTTCGCTTGGCAGTGGCTGTTTTGGCCAAAAACCCGGTCGGGTTTTTGTAATACCCGGTCGGGTATTAGGCTATTTTTTGATTTTTTTCAGCTTTTTTTTTACCCGGTGGTTGTGTTGCCCGGGTATAATCCTTTTGTGCTGTTACCCGACCGGGTGTGGGATATACCCGGGCGGGTTTTTCCTCCCAGTTTTTTTTAAAGGTGTAAAGATAAAATAAAACAAGTAAACGTACCTTGCTTGGGTTGCCTCCCAAGAAGCGCCTTATTTAACGTCACGGCATGACGCCATCATTGTGTTCAGTCATTCAAACTTGGATCATGATAGTTTATCTTTTTCACACTTTCACTCCTAGGACGTTCATAGGAGTGCCCAACTTCTCGACTATTCAATTTGGGAATCTTTCCATGATCAAATATCCAAATTGTCATTGATTCATGCGGTGGGAGGAAAGGGAAGAAATTATCGTTTACTATGGTCAATGAAAAGTTTTTCGATCCCTCAATTTTGAAGAGGATTTCAGAAATGTCATTGTCCTTTCTAAGTTTATGAGTTTCCCTAAAAAAATTAGAATTGATGGGGGTACCTCAAAAGATGACAAAGATAGATATTTAACCTTGAAGCTCAGATTATCCTCTTCTTTGACCAGTTGGAGCTCCGTGTCTTTTTCTTCCTCTACTTCTTTTGGATTCTGGATCTCCTTTTGCATTTCCTCTTCATTTGTCAATGTGATTGCAAAAGTTTGCTGTTTAGGATCACATTCTAGTTGAGAAGGAGGTTTTTCTGAATCCTTTGCTTCAAGCCTACTCACGACTCCGGCTATTTGACTCATTTGAGTTTCCAAGTTCATAATGCTAGACTTGGTCTCATTTTGGAATTGCACCATGTTTTGTTGCATGGCGGTCACACTGTTAGTAAGAGCCCGAACCATGTCCTCTGTGGACATATTAGAGTTGGAGAATGGATCATACCTCATGTGAGGTACATCATCAATTTGTGCAAGGTATTCTTCTTGGAGCTTTGGGCAGAAGTCCGTAAGATGCCAGTGAGACATGCAAATGTTGCATGTTTTGACATCTTGAGCTTTTGAGTTAAAGATAGATTCCTTTATTAGAGAAGTCAAGAAGGAAATTTGACTCTCCAAGGATGAAGTGTTGGTATCCATATACTCATAACTCATGTAAGCTCAGAAAATAGAAGAGCAAGATTTTTTTTATATATAAATATATATATATATATATATATATATATATATATATATATATATATATTTTGTTTTTGATTTTTATGAGATAAAACAAAAAGAAAAGTAATTGCCTTTCCTCGGCAATGGCGCCAAATTTGACGAGCACTTTGTCACGGTGCGTCAAAATAAATTCAATACTAAACACTTATAGCATTCAATCTTTTTAACTCCTTGATGAAATCAATTGAGATTGATAACCTTAACACAACGGTTTCGGTTTAACCAACAAAATTGATCCCTCTTAAGTCTATTAACCACGACCGTGCATTAATAAACCGAAGTTACTTACTTGTGAAACCACCAACGATTAACCATCGTTTTGTTGATCGTTTCTAGTAGTAATTAATGTCGGAACGTTAACTAATCGTCACTTAGCAACCCTCCAACATTAATATAGAATGAGATTAAGGGAAGAAATAATAATCAAGAGAAGAAGTTAAGAAAAACCAAGAATGGAGGTTTAGCTCCTCATTTGGAGACTAAACATAGCTAGAAAAATATAAAGAAATGCTATTCTAAATTGAGCTAAAGAGTATGGAAGAAAGGATGATGAAAAGTGAAGGAAAATAGGGTTATTTATAGGTGTTTTCAACACCTAATGCCGGATACCCGGCCGGGTATTTTGACATACCCGACCGGGTATTTACCAAATCAAATATTTTCCCATGTTTTTGTGTCTTCTGCACGTTCTTTGGTCCGAAATCACTTCATACCCGACCGGGTATATGGAATACCCGACCGGGTATTTGCTAGTTTTGCAGCAGTTTCCTTTGTCACTTCATACCCGGCCGGGTAAAGTCCACACCCGACCGGGTTTTGCACAAAACTCAGGTTTCTTCATCCTTTTTGCTTCCAACCATATCCTAAACTTATAGCCAAACTAACTACAACTTACAACAAACAATAAAATGCTAGAAATACGATTACAATCAAATGCAAACTAACAACTGTAAACTTGCACAAAACTAGTAAATAAACATTACAAACAATAATAAAAATGTATACTTAGGCACTAACAACTAGTGCCTATCAAACACTCTCACACTTGAACCTTTACTCGTCTCGAGTAAATTAAAACATGTCCATGAAATTTTCAAAAACCACAAGAGTAGCAGAACAACCATCCAACATTTTTTTGATTATCTTCTTGCATAAATAGATATTTTTCTCTCATTCTCTCATTTTGCCTAGAAACCTTTTTCAGGTTTTCATCCTAGCCTCTCTTTTTATTTTTATTTTTTTTTCTCACAACTCACTCATTTTAGCCACTTTTGTTTAGATTGCCCATTTTTGGGGGGGTTTCAACCTAACTAGCATTTTTTTTTCTTTTATTGTTTTTTTTTTGTTTTTTTTTGAAGAAAAATAATGCAAGTTACAATGTAAAAAAAATGAGTACATACCAAATGAGTGCCTCCCCTACACTTTTTTCGAAACACTGTCCCTAGTGTTCGGCACCATGATCGTCGTCGTACCCTCCATAACCACCATCGCCACTAAGACTATGTTCACCGGAGCTAGAAACTCCCAATCGCCCTAATATGAGGGATAAAACCACATCGGTTGTTGTACTAGGTGGGCATGTTGGAGAAGTACCCTTGGTGGTCGAAGATATGTGTTCTTTTTTGTGCTTTTTTCGTTTTTTTTAGTGAATTCCAAAGTTGAGTTTGGGGGGTTAAGGAATTCGGTTTGTAGGGTATTTGGGAAATTTGGTGGGTTTTGTGTGTGTGGGTTTGGAAAGTAGGGCGAGGAGAAAAAAAATGACATTTTATTTTGGAGGTTTTGTGGTTGGAGAGGATGATGTGGATAAGAAGAATGTGGGGTTAATTTGGATGTTTTGGTTGAGATTGGAGTGGTTTGAAGTGTGGATGATTGTCAATGGAGGTTGAGGATTTGAGTTTGGGAGATTAGGGAAGAGAATGGGTGTTTTGTGGGCTGATTTGGGGCCAAATCGGACTGAAATCCCGATTACCCGGCCGGGTTTTAGTAATACCCGAATGGGTATGCTGTTTTTCGCTTGGCAGTGGCTGTTTTGGCCAAAAACCCGGTCGGGTTTTTGTAATACCCGGTCGGGTATTAGGCTATTTTTTGATTTTTTTCAGCTTTTTTTTTACCCGGTGGTTGTGTTGCCCGGGTATAATCCTTTTGTGCTGTTACCCGACCGGGTGTGGGATATACCCGGGCGGGTTTTTCCTCCCAGTTTTTTTTAAAGGTGTAAAGATAAAATAAAACAAGTAAACGTACCTTGCTTGGGTTGCCTCCCAAGAAGCGCCTTATTTAACGTCACGGCATGACGCCATCATTGTGTTCAGTCATTCAAACTTGGATCATGATAGTTTATCTTTTTCACACTTTCACTCCTAGGACGTTCATAGGAGTGCCCAACTTCTCGACTATTCAATTTGGTAATCTTTCCATGATCAAATATCCAAATTGTCATTGATTCATGCGGTGGGAGGAAAGGGAAGAAATTATCGTTTACTATGGTCAATGAAAAGTTTTTCGATCCCTCAATTTTGAAGAGGATTTCAGAAATGTCATTGTCCTTTCTAAGTTTATGAGTTTCCCTAAAAAAATTAGAATTGATGGGGGTACCTCAAAAGATGACAAAGATAGATATTTAACCTTGAAGCTCAGATTATCCTCTTCTTTGACCAGTTGGAGCTCCGTGTCTTTTTCTTCCTCTACTTCTTTTGGATTCTGGATCTCCTTTTGCATTTCCTCTTCATTTGTCAATGTGATTGCAAAAGTTTGCTGTTTAGGATCACATTCTAGTTGAGAAGGAGGTTTTTCTGAATCCTTTGCTTCAAGCCTACTCACGACTCCGGCTATTTGACTCATTTGAGTTTCCAAGTTCATAATGCTAGACTTGGTCTCATTTTGGAATTGCATCATGTTTTGTTGCATGGCGGTCACACTGTTAGTAAGAGCCCGAACCATGTCCTCTGTGGACATATTAGAGTTGGAGAATGGATCATACCTCATGTGAGGTACATCATCAATTTGTGCAAGGTATTCTTCTTGGAGCTTTGGGCAGAAGTCCGTAAGATGCCAGTGAGACATGCAAATGTTGCATGTTTTGACATCTTGAGCTTTTGAGTTAAAGATAGATTCCTTTATTAGAGAAGTCAAGAAGGAAATTTGACTCTCCAAGGATGAAGTGTTGGTATCCATATACTCATAACTCATGTAAGCTCAGAAAATAGAAGAGCAAGATTTTTTTTATATATAAATATATATATATATATATATATATATATATATATATATATTTTGTTTTTGATTTTTATGAGATAAAACAAAAAGAAAAGTAATTGCCTTTCCTCGGCAATGGCGCCAAATTTGACGAGCACTTTGTCACGGTGCGTCAAAATAAATTCAATACTAAACACTTATAGCATTCAATCTTTTTAACTCCTTGATGAAATCAATTGAGATTGATAACCTTAACACAACGGTTTCGGTTTAACCAACAAAATTGATCCCTCTTAAGTCTATTAACCACGACCGTGCATTAATAAACCGAAGTTACTTACTTGTGAAACCACCAACGATTAACCATCGTTTTGTTGATCGTTTCTAGTAGTAATTAATGTCGGAACGTTAACTAATCGTCACTTAGCAACCCTCCAACATTAATATAGAATGAGATTAAGGGAAGAAATAATAATCAAGAGAAGAAGTTAAGAAAAACCAAGAATGGAGGTTTAGCTCCTCATTTGGAGACTAAACATAGCTAGAAAAATATAAAGAAATGCTATTCTAAATTGAGCTAAAGAGTATGGAAGAAAGGATGATGAAAAGTGAAGGAAAATAGGGTTATTTATAGGTGTTTTCAACACCTAATGCCGGATACCCGGCCGGGTATTTTGACATACCCGACCGGGTATTTACCAAATCAAATATTTTCCCATGTTTTTGTGTCTTCTGCACGTTCTTTGGTCCGAAATCACTTCATACCCGACCGGGTATATGGAATACCCGACCGGGTATTTGCTAGTTTTGCAGCAGTTTCCTTTGTCACTTCATACCCGGCCGGGTAAAGTCCACACCCGACCGGGTTTTGCACAAAACTCAGGTTTCTTCATCCTTTTTGCTTCCAACCATATCCTAAACTTATAGCCAAACTAACTACAACTTACAACAAACAATAAAATGCTAGAAATACGATTACAATCAAATGCAAACTAACAACTGTAAACTTGCACAAAACTAGTAAATAAACATTACAAACAATAATAAAAATGTATACTTAGGCACTAACAACTAGTGCCTATCAAACACTCTCACACTTGAACCTTTACTCGTCTCGAGTAAATTAAAACATGTCCATGAAATTTTCAAAAACCACAAGAGTAGCAGAACAACCATCCAACATTTTTTTGATTATCTTCTTGCATAAATAGATATTTTTCTCTCATTCTCTCATTTTGCCTAGAAACCTTTTTCAGGTTTTCATCCTAGCCTCTCTTTTTATTTTTATTTTTTTTTCTCACAACTCACTCATTTTAGCCACTTTTGTTTAGATTGCCCATTTTTGGGGGGGTTTCAACCTAACTAGCATTTTTTTTTCTTTTATTGTTTTTTTTTTGTTTTTTTTTGAAGAAAAATAATGCAAGTTACAATGTAAAAAAAATGAGTACATACCAAATGAGTGCCTCCCCTACACTTTTTTCGAAACACTGTCCCTAGTGTTCGGCACCATGATCGTCGTCGTACCCTCCATAACCACCATCGCCACTAAGACTATGTTCACCGGAGCTAGAAACTCCCAATCGCCCTAATATGAGGGATAAAACCACATCGGTTGTTGTACTAGGTGGGCATGTTGGAGAAGTACCCTTGGTGGTCGAAGATATGTGTTCTTTTTTGTGCTTTTTTCGTTTTTTTTAGTGAATTCCAAAGTTGAGTTTGGGGGGTTAAGGAATTCGGTTTGTAGGGTATTTGGGAAATTTGGTGGGTTTTGTGTGTGTGGGTTTGGAAAGTAGGGCGAGGAGAAAAAAAATGACATTTTATTTTGGAGGTTTTGTGGTTGGAGAGGATGATGTGGATAAGAAGAATGTGGGGTTAATTTGGATGTTTTGGTTGAGATTGGAGTGGTTTGAAGTGTGGATGATTGTCAATGGAGGTTGAGGATTTGAGTTTGGGAGATTAGGGAAGAGAATGGGTGTTTTGTGGGCTGATTTGGGGCCAAATCGGACTGAAATCCCGATTACCCGGCCGGGTTTTAGTAATACCCGAATGGGTATGCTGTTTTTCGCTTGGCAGTGGCTGTTTTGGCCAAAAACCCGGTCGGGTTTTTGTAATACCCGGTCGGGTATTAGGCTATTTTTTGATTTTTTTCAGCTTTTTTTTTACCCGGTGGTTGTGTTGCCCGGGTATAATCCTTTTGTGCTGTTACCCGACCGGGTGTGGGATATACCCGGGCGGGTTTTTCCTCCCAGTTTTTTTTAAAGGTGTAAAGATAAAATAAAACAAGTAAACGTACCTTGCTTGGGTTGCCTCCCAAGAAGCGCCTTATTTAACGTCACGGCATGACGCCATCATTGTGTTCAGTCATTCAAACTTGGATCATGATAGTTTATCTTTTTCACACTTTCACTCCTAGGACGTTCATAGGAGTGCCCAACTTCTCGACTATTCAATTTGGTAATCTTTCCATGATCAAATATCCAAATTGTCATTGATTCATGCGGTGGGAGGAAAGGGAAGAAATTATCGTTTACTATGGTCAATGAAAAGTTTTTCGATCCCTCAATTTTGAAGAGGATTTCAGAAATGTCATTGTCCTTTCTAAGTTTATGAGTTTCCCTAAAAAAATTAGAATTGATGGGGGTACCTCAAAAGATGACAAAGATAGATATTTAACCTTGAAGCTCAGATTATCCTCTTCTTTGACCAGTTGGAGCTCCGTGTCTTTTTCTTCCTCTACTTCTTTTGGATTCTGGATCTCCTTTTGCATTTCCTCTTCATTTGTCAATGTGATTGCAAAAGTTTGCTGTTTAGGATCACATTCTAGTTGAGAAGGAGGTTTTTCTGAATCCTTTGCTTCAAGCCTACTCACGACTCCGGCTATTTGACTCATTTGAGTTTCCAAGTTCATAATGCTAGACTTGTTCTCATTTTGGAATTGCACCATGTTTTGTTGCATGGCGGTCACACTGTTAGTAAGAGCCCGAACCATGTCCTCTGTGGACATATTAGAGTTGGAGAATGGATCATACCTCATGTGAGGTACATCATCAATTTGTGCAAGGTATTCTTCTTGGAGCTTTGGGCAGAAGTCCGTAAGATGCCAGTGAGACATGCAAATGTTGCATGTTTTGACATCTTGAGCTTTTGAGTTAAAGATAGATTCCTTTATTAGAGAAGTCAAGAAGGAAATTTGACTCTCCAAGGATGAAGTGTTGGTATCCATATACTCATAACTCATGTAAGCTCAGAAAATAGAAGAGCAAGATTTTTTTTATATATAAATATATATATATATATATATATATATATATATATATATTTTGTTTTTTATTTTTATGAGATAAAACAAAAAGAAAAGTAATTGCCTTTCCTCGGCAATGGCGCCAAATTTGACGAGCACTTTGTCACGGTGCGTCAAAATAAATTCAATACTAAACACTTATAGCATTCAATCTTTTTAACTCCTTGATGAAATCAATTGAGATTGATAACCTTAACACAACGGTTTCGGTTTAACCAACAAAATTGATCCCTCTTAAGTCTATTAACCACGACCGTGCATTAATAAACCGAAGTTACTTACTTGTGAAACCACCAACGATTAACCATCGGTTCGTTGATCGTTTCTAGTAGTAATTAATGTCGGAACGTCAACTAATCGTCACTTAGCAACCCACCAACATTAATATAGAATGAGATTAAGGGAAGAAATAATAATCAAGAGAAGAAGTTAAGAAAATAACTCACAACTTTAATAATCAACAAGCTTCAAGAGCAAAACCAAGAATGGAGGTTTAGCTCCTCATTTGGAGACTAAACATAGCTAGAAAAATATAAAGAAATGCTATTCGAAATTGAGCTAAAGAGTATGGAAGAAAGGATGATGAAAAGTGAAGGAAAATGGGGTTATTTATAGGTGTTTTCAACACCTAATGCCGGATACCCGGCTGGGTATTTTGACATACCCGACCGGGTATTTACCAAATCAAATATTTTCCCATGTTTTTGTGTCTTCTGCACGTTCTTTGGTCCGAAATCACTTCATACCCGACCGGGTATATGGAATACCCGACCGGGTATTTGCTAGTTTTGCAGCAGTTTCCTTTGTCACTTCATACCCGGCCGAGTAAAGTCCATACCCGACCGGGTTTTGCACAAAACTCAGGTTTCTTCATCCTTTTGGCTTCCAAACCTATCCTAAACTTATAGCCAAACTAACTACAACTTACAACAAACAATAAAATGCTAGAAATACGATTACAATCAAATGCAAACTAACAACTGTAAACTTGCACAAAACTAGTAAATAAACATTACAAACAATAATAAAAATGTATACTTAGGCACTAACAACTAGTGCCTATCATGTGGCTGGCAGGGAATCTGGCAGACACATGTAATAAGCCATAATACAAGTAACCATTGTAAGTATGATACTCCTTAATGTCAAGTAAAATGTTCTGAAATGCACGAATAAGAGGGTAAAATTGATTTTGAAATCATTACAACAAAAGTATGCATAAATTGTTAAGGTTCATAAGTATGTCTACTCCACTGTAGACATGCATTCTTAATGATCACAAAGTGACAAACAATATTTTCAAAGTAAACGGTGTATGTTGAATGAGGTGATATCATGTAATGTAAGTTTTTGTACCATGTCAGATAAATGTTAAATAATGTAGTCTTCATTAGACAGATAGTTCATCAAGGTATATACATAGAAACTTCATCAATGTAGACTAATAAACATGTTTTGCAAAGAAAATGATGTATGCAATCTGAGCTCATGTAATGTAATGTAACTTTTTCGTATCATGTTAGATGCATGTTACAGAATGTAGGCTTCATGAAACAGATAGTTCATCAAGGTACATAGAGAAATAGTTCATCAATGCAGAATACATATCTGATTACATTCTTAATGATCATACACTGATAAACATGTTTTGCAAAACAAATGCAGTATGCAATCTGAGGTTATGTAATGTAATGAAACTTTTTTTCAGTGTGAGATGCATGTCACATAATGTAGGTTTCATCACACTGATAGTTCATCAAGGTATATACACAGATAGTTCATCAATCATAAACATGTTTTGCAAAGGAAAAGCTGTATGCAACCACATAGATACTTCATCAAGGTATGCAAAACAATACAAATGAGCATGTAAGTGCATATAAGGTTCAACAAAGTAGATAGGGTTATATGCCACATACAAACAACATATACTAAGTACATTTCTTTTAATGATACTTTGACAGGTAATGTAATTGCCAATTTTAAAATGAAGAAGCTCACAAAATCAACAATAATCAATCGCAAAAGAGGGATCAAAGAGATACTTGATCAAGGTATGAAATACATTTTTTAAGCTATTCAAACTTATATAGTATATTGCGTACAGTATAGCAATGGCAGTTTATATTATAATAATTTACAAATAATTATAGTAATCATACTATACATATACGATAAGTATAGTATATAATTATACATGTTTATAGATTCATTGAATGGCATGAACACAAACAGATTCCTTTTAATCTGTGATCACCTTTCTCATCTATACAGCCAACTTCATGTGTGACAAAGTATACACAGAATCTCAATATTTACAGATAAAAGTATGTAATTGCAACTTCAAAGAAATTAATGGTAATCCAACACCAAAAAAATGTTCGTCCGTCACCATACACAGGTTTGATGTTTCCACAGACCTGACCATGAAATGGTATATCAGACAAAATCTTTTTATCCGCAAATATTACACAAATGAACACATCTACAGATTTCAGTCTTAACTTTACAAAAATATCTTTAAAAACATATATTCATTGCTGAATGTGAAGCATGTGCCAAAACAAACAAGCATTTTGTAAAATAGATTACCAAAATCTGCGTCAAATCACAAGTGTGAAAATCGGTTGAAAAAATACACATCAACTGTTGAAAATGAACCAAAACTTTGAGGACATAAACACATAGAAGAGACAAACAGAGGCTATACCAAACGACTAAGAAGAGGCCGCGGAATACATGGAGAATCATAGCCGCTGGTTGACATCTAGCCTTATCGCCCCTCACACCTGAACGGCCGACCAGAAATCAGGTCAATACCATAGTCTAGATGAAGACCTAGAAGTAGGAGTAAGCGGTTGGTTTGAAGGTTGGAGATAGAAGCGGAGGGGGTGAAGATTCTAGAGACCATCGGTCTGAAGGAGGAACCGATGGTTCTAGACGTATAAGGGGTTTATATATCAGGGGGTTGGGTCGGGTAGGCTTAGGGTTTGAATTACTGGGCTGATATGGTTGTTGGGTTGAATAGGGTTAGGTATAAATATTTAAATTAATTTGAATGTTGGGTTAAAAGGGCTGGAATTGGGTCTAATTACAAAAATAAATTGTTGATCCTACTACTTAGACTATTAAAGTTATAATTTTAATAAAAAACCATAACTTATTAAATAAGTTATTTATAATTCTTTATTCTTAATTAATATTACCTACTATTAGTTAATATCAGATAATTACTTATTACTTAATATTACTTAAATAATTGTAAAATGTTAACAGTTCATGGTATAAACTATTGTGCCTAATTTTTGAACCAGTAAGAATTTAATCTGAAGCCAAATCGAAAACCTTTAATTTTTTTATGATATCATTGATTTCTTTTAGTAATTATTAATAATACTCCATATTGGTTAAAATCAAAATTAATTAATATTTATAATGAATATAATTCTTCATTGATAATGTTGGTAATTACGTATTCTAAGATTTAAAATGAGTACATGTATATAATATATAATTTAACTTTTTTAAAATAAAACCGAAATAAATGAATTGTAATATTTTTCTTTTATTTTGCAGAAAATGTTGATTGTAGGTTCGACAATAACCATCCTTCTGGAATTGTGGGAATAAGTTGCAGTTCTTCTAAATTCATAAGGTCATGTGCTAACGAAGGGACTCCTAATATTTTGGCAGACAGAACAAATGGTATTTACTATTTCTTTTAATTTAATACTACTTTGTGTACAATTACAAATATGCATGCAAGTATCATTGAATATTTATATTTATGTCAATTTATTATCATTTGAAAAAAAACTTTGTTTTTTTTTCTGTTTAAAAAAACAAAAATTATGTTTGAATGTGTATTGTACTATTATATTATTAATGTGAAAGTATGGTAAATTGTTGATTATCAGTGTCCTTTTTGACTAATTAAATAAATTAAATAAATGAAATATATAAATAAATAAAAATAAATAATTAATTAAATAATTAAATAAGAGATGCATTGAATGCTTTTTCATTTTGATAATTAATGAGTTAATTTCTTTTATCAAAATGTTATCAAATATCTTAATTAACAATTTTATTTAAATTTAAATATTAATTTTAATTTTTTAATACAATTAATATTTGTGTTCTTGCTTTATAATATATGTATTAAAATAAAATAGTCTATATATATATTATTTTATATATCTCAATATTTATAAAATATAAATATATTTATATTTGCTCTAATATGCGAATTCATTATTTTAAAATGAGAATTGCAGTGTTGCAGTCTCCGTTTAACCCTTCTGTAATAGTGAGCACACAAAATGTGAATGACATATCCCGCATTTGTGGAATACAACGTCCTACTGGTATTGTGTCACAACTTCCATTATCTGACATTGAGGATGCACTTCCATCAGAAATGAACGTTGGCGAAGGTGAGAAAATAGTTCGATGCATTTCCTCACGCATGATAAACACATCTTCATTAACATTATATTAGTTTTGTAGATATAATCAACAGTGAATATTGGGACATTGGTGATCTCAATTACAATTGTGAACATTGTGGGGCATTGTTTTGGTATGATGAAAGATTGGTGCGAAGTTCTACTAAAACAAGCCCCAAGTATTCTCTATGTTGCGGTCAAGGGAAGATCCAATTACCACCACACAAAGAGCCTCCAAAAGAGTTGTGTGATTTGATGAATGACACAGATCAAAAATCCAAACACTTTCAGGATAATATTCGATCATACAATAATATGTTTTCTTTCACATCAATGGGCGGAAGGGTTGATCAAACAATCAATAAGGGTGGGTCACCTCCAGTTTTTAAACTTGGCGGTCAAAACTATCATCTCATTGGGAGTTTGTTGCCCGAGGAAGGAAATGTCCCCAAGTTTGTGCAATTGTATATCTATGACACGCAGCATGAGGATGTTAATCGCCTGACCTCGGTGGGGTAATAACCTAATGCAAGACAATTTTGTTTTCATTTTCATTATGTCATTATCCTAAACAATGTTGTACTTTCCTTCTCCAACATTAGGGATAATGAACGAAAGAACAAATTGCATGCTGATATTGTCTCTACCCTAAGGCAAATGTTGGATCAACATAACGTTTTGGTCAAGTCTTTTAGGATGGTTAGAGATAAGATTACAGAATGTGGACATTCTAATGTTAACTTGAAGTTAATTGGCCGGAGAGGTAGAGATGCTAGAACATACAATTTGCCTACGGTGTCTGAAGTTGCGGCTTTGATAGTTGGTGACTTTGATGAATCTTTGGAGCAAAGAGACATAATGGTGGAAACTCAATGGGGTGTTTTGAAACGAATCAATGAGCTGAATCCTGCTTATTTGGGGCTTCAGTATCCACTTCTGTTTCCTTATGGTGAAGATGGTTATAGAGAGGATATAAGTTTTTCAGATTCTAATAGTAGCAGCACTAAAGGTCGCCGAAGTGTTAGCATACGTGAATTCCTAGCATATCGATTGCATGATCGTAGTATTGAGAATTCCTTTATACTCAAAGCTAGGAGATTGTTTCAACAATTTGTGGTAGACGGTTACACGATGGTTGAATCATCTAGACTCACTTATATAAGATTGAATCAAAAGCAATTAAGATGTGAAATGTATAAAGGCCTTTCGGAGGCGTTATTGAGTGGTGAACGAGATGCTTCTACCCAAGGAAAGAGAATAGTCCTACCACCGACATTTGTTGGAGGAGCCAGATACATGGTTCAAAACTATCAAGATGCAATGGTTATATGTCGATGGGCTAGATATCCAGATCTTTTCTTTACCTTCACTTGCAATCCTAAATGGTCTGAAATTGTTAGGTTCCTTTCAGAAAGGAATTTGAATCCTGAAGATCGGCCTGATATAATCTGTCGAGTATTCAAGATGAAGTTAGATGGATTGATCAAAGATCTCCGACAAAATAAAATCTTTGGTGATGTTAGAGCATGTTTGAAATATATCTATTATAAATGGTTAATAAAGTAATTGTTCATCTTATATAATAAATGATTACAATGGTTGTTATTGTTTAATGCAGTTGTTTACACTATTGAGTTCCAAAAACGTGGCCTCCCACATGCCCATATATTGTTGTTCATGGGAAATGCAGACAAATTTCCCACTCCTACAGATATAGATCGAATTATATCGGCTGAAATTCCTGATGAGTCAAGTGATCCTGGTTATTTTAATGCTGTGCGAATGCATATGATGCATGGACCGTGTGGGAGTGACATAAAAAACGCCCCGTGCATGGTTAAGTATAAATGTTCTAAGCACTTTCCAAAGAAGTTCAATGTACAAACTAACATTGACGATGATGGTTATCCTAAGTACATGAGACGGGATGATGGCAAAACGATCGTGAAGAACCGTGTTCCACTTGACAATCGACATGTTGTTCCTCATAACAGGTATTTGTTGATGAAGTATGGTGCTCATCTTAATGTAGAGTGGTGTAACCAATCAAGGTCTATCAAGTATCTTTTCAAATATGTGAATAAAGGCCATGATCGCGTCACAGCTGCATTTTATGAGGCTGCAAATAAGGATGATTCAGAAAAGCTCGTGGATGAAATCAAATTGTACTATGATTGCCGATACATTTCACCATGTGAGGCAATGTGGCGTGTATTAGGGTTTGAAATACAATATAAGAATCCATCGATTGAGCGTTTGAGCTTTCACTTTCCTGATGAGCAGTATGTATATTTTGAAGACAAGGATGCAATGACAGATTTAGTACAATGTGAAACTGTTAAACAAAGCATGTTTCTGGCATGGATGAAGGTCAATGATCAGTATGAAGAGGCTAAAAATTTAACTTGTGCTGAATTCCCTCGGAAATTTGTTTGGAAACCTAAAACAAGGGAATTTGTTCCTCGCAAAAGGGGTTTTGCATTGGGTCGAGTGGCATATGTCCCACCAGGATCAGGAGAATCTTATTATATGTGATGTATCCTCAATTTAAAGCGTGGTGCTACGTGTTTCGCTGATTTACGGACTGTTGACGGATTTTGTTATGATTCATATCGTGACACATGTTACGCATTGGGTTTGTTGGACGATGATCGAGAGTACGTCGAAGGTTTTACAGAGAGTAGTTTTTGGGCTTCAGCATGGGGACTAAGAGTTCTATTTGTCATATTGTTATTAGCAGATACAATGAGTAGACTTGAATACATTTGGGAGAAATGTTGGAATTTCATATCTGATGACATTCTACTGAGACAACGAAGAGCTTTGCTACATCCAGGTTATTAAAACATAACTTATTTTTTCATCCGATTTATGTTTGTAAAATGTTAAATAAAACTTTTGTGGAAGTAAATGAAAACTATTTGTTATTGTAGAATTAATGTTGACGGAAGACGAAATCAAGAATTATGCATTGCTTGAAATCGAAACAATGTTGAGGACTCGGGGAAGAAGCCTAAGGGACTACCCATCAATGCCATTCCCTAAGTGCAGTAACGCAACAATGTTTCAGAACAGATTTATTTTTGACGAGTTACAATATGATCATGCCGAGATGCGCGAACAACATGAAAAATGCATGGAGAGTTTGAATGAGCAGCAAAGTGAAGTGTACAAGACTATTATGGAATCCATTGAAGAGAACAAGAGTGGAGTGTTCTTTGTGTATGGGTACGGGGGTACAGGAAAAACGTTTATTTGGAAAACGTTGTCAGCAGCTTTGAGGTCAAACGGTGAAATTGTTTTAAATGTGGCCTCAAGTGGGATTGCTTCATTATTATTGCCTGGTGGAAGAACTGCTCACTCACGTTTTGCAATACCAATCAACCCAACCGAACACTCAACATGCAACATCAAACAAAACAGTCCACTAGCCCAATTAATAATTAGGTCTAAACTTATTATTTGGGATGAGGCACCGATGATGCATAAATTTTGTTTTGAAGCTTTGGACAGAAGTATGCATGACATTCTCAGGGTTGTTGATCCTCGAAATAATGATAAGCCGTTTGGAGGAAAAACTATTGTCTTTGGAGGAGACTTTAGACAAATCTTACCGGTGATTGCCAAGGTACAAGACAAGACATAGTTAATGCTACAATTAATTCTTCATACATATGGCAAGATTGCATTGTTTTACGCTTAACAAAGAACATGAGACTACAATCGTTAAGTGACGATCGTGATTATGCCGACTTGGTTGAGTTTGCGGAGTGGATAGCAAGTTTGGGAGATGGAATAACAGGTGGTGAAAATGATGGATGTGCTGATATACAAATACCAAGTGACATTTTGCTTCAAAGTGATGAAGACTTTATTGCAACAATTGTACGCAGTACGTATCCTGATTTTGAAGCTATGCCTACTGACCCGTCGTTCCTAAAAGAACATGCTATTTTGGCCCCGCCGCTTGATGTTGTTGACTCAATTAATGAGTACATGACTACATTGAATGTTACAGGGGAATGTATGACATATTTGAGTTCTGATAGCATTTGCAAATCTGACTCTAATTGTGATATTTTGGCTGATTTGCATACACCCGAGTTCTTGAATAAGATATGTGCATCCGGTGTTCCAAATCATGAGTTGACTCTAAAGGTAGGTATTCCGGTTATGCTTCTGAGGAACATTGATCATTACATGGGCTTATGCAATGGAACGAGGTTAATTATTACAAGGCTTGGAAATCATGTTCTTGGAGCTACAATTTTAGGAGGAAAATTTGATGGTCAAGAAGTAGTCATACCGAGATTGACATTAACACCTTCAGATGCAAGAATACCATTTAAGTTCCAAAGAAGGCAATTTCCAATCATGGTCTCTTATGCGATGACTATAAACAAGAGTCGGGGACAATCTCTAATGCATGTTGGACTTTTACTAAAAAAGTCGTGCTTCACTCATGGTCAATTTTACGTTGCAGCGTCAAGAGTTACCAATCGCAAAGGCTTGAAAATATTGATTTGTGATGAAGATGGCAAACAAATCGATCATAATACTAATGTTGTTTACAAAGAAGTCTTTCATAATTTATAGCTTCACTATGAACACTTATTAGTTTGATCACCACTTTATACTTTGAAATGTTATATCTCTCTTAACAACGAACACTTATTATATTACTTCACTTTATTATGAGTTCAATTATTTAAGCGCTTTTATAATAAAATTCTTAAAACACAGAGTAGTAAAATTTCATCTGCGCATCGCGCGGGTGAGAATCTAGTATACTCAATGGAGTTATATTGTGCTAAAATAATGAACATAATGTTAACGCTGTGAAAAATGTTACATTTTTACTAAAAGTTACTAATTTACATTTCTATCCACTATTTTTACATTTATTATCCACTATTTTTACATTTTTCCCACTATTAGATACTAAATGTTACTAAATGTCACAATTAAATTGCATTGGAATTTGTGAATCAATATTAATTGAATAAGAGAAGCAGTACATGAAATTTAAATGGATATGATTTTTACTATAGCTATAAGTACTTAATTTATTAGTTACAATTACCTTTAGTAGTCAATAATCTCATATTTATCCGGTAAATAGTAATATGTACTCCCTCCGTCGCATACAAAGGTTTTCATTTTCCTTTTTGGACGTCCTACAGAGAGGTTCTCATTTTCATTTTAGAAAACAACTAACAATCTTAAATGAAGTAATAAACATTAAATTTTAAAAATAATACATTTATAACATACAAGTTATAAACACTAACCCCATTATATTATATATCTATTAAAATAATTTCTCGAAATATACTTGAACTACCTTATTTAGTTATTGTCTAGATAATTGTGCCATTTTTGCCATGAAAGCCTTTCAATGGGATGGAAACAGTATAAATTTAGCTGATAAGTAATGACATTTTTAACTAATATATGCTAACATACACAAATTCAATTCATTTTCTTTTTGGATAGGTCTCTATATGTTTTTTATATCCAAAAATTAATAGATATAACGAATTCTTTTAGTAGTAATAGTATTTAATAAGTTATTAACTGAGTGAAGTTAACATATTGTTTGGATTGGTTTGAAGTTTATACGGTGGAGAAAGTAAAAATATATTTTTCTCATAAGTTTTAAATACCAAAACATAAAACTTAAGTATTTAATCAGAGAGAACTAAATTAATTAAGAAAAATATCAATAAAAAAACTAATTATTGGCAATTTATTAGTGTATCCAAAAATGTTTGTATTTTGTGTTTTATTGAAATAATTAAAACGAAATATGTTATTAAACGATATGATGATTGTAAGAAAATAAGAAATTAATTAGTATATATGTATCGTAAAATTTACACTCACATCATCATATTCCTAAGTTAAAGGAAAAATTGATAGTAATAATCCCAACTATTGACGGTCCGCTCATAATAATCTCAACTATCGATTATTTCAGAATAATCCCAACTTTAGTTACCTTCCGTCAATAATGGTCCGATGTGACCGGTTATAAATAAATTTTGAAGTGGATGAGAAGAGATATAGCAAGTAATCCCTATAAATAATCCCAAATTTAATTTTTACGCTTAATTTCTATTTAAAATTCACTTGTTATATGAGGTAATATCTAGTCATGGACCATTATTGGCGGACAGTCTATATAGTTGGGATTATACAAAAATAATTAATAGTTGAGATTATTGTTAGCGGACCGGCAATAGTTGGACTATTATTTTCAAATTTTCCTAAGTTAAATATATGAATAATTTTTACGCTTAATTTCTATTTAAAATTCACTTGTTATATGAGGTAATATCTAGTCATGGACCATTATTGGCGGACAGTCTATATAGTTGGGATTATACAAAAATAATTAATAGTTGAGATTATTGTTAGCGGACCGGCAATAGTTGGACTATTATTTTCAAATTTTCCTAAGTTAAATATATGAATAATTACCATGACTATTATTATCACAATCATAATTTTGAAAATGTATTTGAATGAATAAGTTTTAAAATAGAATACAGGTTACCGATGTTAGTATTGAGATAATGTTTTAATTGATTTATACTCAATGGAGTTCATTAGACACATAAGTCGGTTAGATAAATATTGGCCAATATATAAGTTAATGATATCATAAGATTATGATTTTATTGATAGCATAAATGAAAGATGAAGATTATATGCCAGTTATTGTTTTTTTTACATGAATAATATTAATTTGTAATATACATGGTGAAATCTATTTAATTAAGTATGCATATATTATATGTAGTGGTATATAAAAAGTTGGAAGTAAATTTGGTATTAATGATTTCATTTCAAAATGATGTCATATCCTACGTAAAAAAAGGTGGCACCTTTATGTGAGCACTCTTCATATTCAAAATCGTCATCTGCATGTAAATAAGATAAATAAATGGTAAATTAATATAGTCAGATTAATTTTTAGAGAAAGAAATGTAATTGTGGCATCATTTGGTCACATACTTTCATATCCTATCACATCCTCATCACTTTCAAAATAATTTTTAAGTGTATCATCATTTTGAGCCTCCATAAACAAATAACAACAAATACTTTAAGTATACATAATACTACCTCCGTAACCCTAGAATCTTCCCAGTTTGACTATTTTGAGTCAAACTTTATAAACTTTGACCATTAATTATTAAAAACTCACATTATGTTATGATTAAAAATTTATTTCATATACCTCATTGTAAAACATATTATTTGAATGCTAATTTATTATGAATTTTACACATATAGATATGTAGATATTTAGAGTCAAAGTTCAACTTAGAAGACCGTGAAAAGTCAAAATGAGAAGATTTTTATGTTACGGAGGTAGTAATTATTTAATTCTTAATGAAAAGGAAAGTTATATTGAAGGTTCAAGAAAAATGAGTACAATGAAAAGGAAAAAAGAAGAAGGAAAAAGTAAATCTAAAAACCCAACCCTAAATGCATCTGAAGAACCCTCCCTATAAAGATTGAGATCGAGAAATTAATCACAACTTTGTATGTGATTGAGATCTCATTCTCATGTGATGCTAACACTCATGTTTTTTCCTATAAATTTTGATTTGTGTATTGAGATTCTGTGTAGGCAAGCAATTTTCTTTAGTGAAAAAACGAGCCTTATTACAAATGTCCTCATTTGTATCAGAATCCCACAAGTTCTCGATTGGTGAGATAGATGTTCTCTTCTCACTCTCTAAAACATGACCAAGAAATTCATCTCCCGAGCATAATAAAAAATTGTCACTAAAAACATCCTCACAATCAAACCCTTTAGAGCAATCATTACCTGTAACTGCAATCACATAATAATTACTTAAATAGATGGCTGACATGGTAATATAATTGTGTTAAATTAAAGTAAGCGTACCCATTGTACTCCTATGAAGGTCGTGCTATTCTGGAATCAAATTATTCGTGTGAATAATTTCCACGATTGTTTCAGGCAGACTTAACTCGATCACGTATCATGTCATCGATATCGGCGTCATAAGTAGTAATTAGTGATTGACCTCCGGCGGTGTCATGGAATATTGCTACTATAAGTATAAGCTGCCCTTAAAAAGTAAAATCAAATATGAACCATTTAGTTTAGCCAATCAAACCATATTTTGAGATCCAAATATCTCAACAAAAAACAATACAATTACACCACCTTCAGTGTTAAATTTCATTCATCCAATTGTGTTTAACAAATCATTCAGTTCACATTTATTAGACTTAAAATGGTAATGCTATAAGCTCCCGTTAAAAGCTGCTCCCTCCATCCCCTGTTATTGTCTCATTCCATATTCACTTGGTCAACACAAATCACTTTAATCTCTTACTTTATGTATCAATATTTTATCAAATTTGATTCTGGGTTTTGTGACTTGTAAAGCTTTTAATGTAGTTTCTGAATATATAATTTTTTTCTAAAAATAATTTGAAGGCGGAGAGGGATCCATTTGCTTTATCGTCGATCAAGGCCGTCAATCATCGTAAAGCGCAATGAGACAATAACAGGGGGACGCAGTTACTATGTTTTAAAACCCGAACCGGAAGGGTCGACCCGGAACCCAATCCGGTCCGGTAACTCATTAACCCGCTAATGCCTCCAAACCCAGAATTACCCGGCAGACCTGCCGGACCCGGACCGTAACCGGGACGGCCAAAACCCGGAATCATTTGCAAAACATATGCCCAAAGGTTTCGAACACTGGTGTATCACACGATTAAAAAGCATCCATACCACCGAACTACTACTCTATGCTGTTATTCCAAGTTGATGCTTAGCTATATTTATTAATCATCTTTCAGCCAATACATTAAAAACTAGGTACTACTTGATAAATAATAATAGCAATATCATAACAAAATACTACGTATAACAACATTTATGAACACTATGTACTACGGAGTATTATACTAAGTGAAAGTATATATTTGTAGTTATTGTCAATTTAATTTAAATACAATTTATATTTTGTAAAAACTTGTATATATTAGAATAATAACTTAATTTCTATGTTGACCGGGTTTTCCGTCGTTGACTGGGTTGACCCGCCGGGTCCGGGTTGACCCGTGTCCCGGTCATTCGGCCGGATCGCTTTCCGGTCCGATTTTTACAACATAGCCTTAAAAGCTAAAGTTAGAGGTTAGAGATGAAAAATTAACTTTTCAATCGCTTTTCATGTCGTTTGAACTAAACGGAGAAGAATCGAGAAACATATAAATATTGGTAAATTGTGTGTTTGTGAATCAGGTTGTGGCTATTAAAGAAAAATTACATCAGTGAATAAGTTTTACCTCCCCATCTATCAAAACGAACTCAACTAATCTGGTGCCCACTCTCTATTCTGGAATGACAGAGGCCATTGTTTATTCTTATAGAAGAAGTGCGAAAGAGGCGAGGTGGGGAAAGAAAGAACCATGTTCGTGTGTTTATTAAGAAGAACATGAAGAGCCAGAAGAGGAGTATATGGTAATACAGAATGTAACAAGAGCAATTGAATCATCGGTTACCTTCAGAAGACCGGATTTGCGGAAGCAATATGATTATAAAGCTGAAATCGAAGATTTTGATGCTTATTGTACGTGGAAATCGCAGATTCATGGTATGTAAATCGCTCAATTTTCATTTGAAACAAACAGATGGAATGAATGACTTGATTGCCAACATATGAAGAAGCGGGAAGCGAGAAATCTGCCGATTTGAAGCGAAAACGGGTGAACTGTTTTATTGTTTCTGGTGATCAACCTTCGGAAGGAATTAAACGGGTTATTGAAAGCGTAAATGGCTAGGAGAGAGGATATTGAAGAGTGTAAATGACTAGAAGAGAGAGGCGGAAAATTTTAGGGTGAGAGATTTTGCTTTTAGGTATATAGGATAGGATTTCATTATTATACTAAGAGGTCAAATCAAATCAGGGTTATATACATATACATAAATTAAATTTGAGACACAATAAGCCAACACTAGTTTAGACTAAACTAATCTATCATAACAAATAAATTTAAACTGCTAAATCAATCGTAATATTGCATTCCAAACGAAGAGGTCATAAAGTGTGATATTCCGTATTGCATCACTACGCCCTACAAATCTCCAATGAGATTTAGGGGGTGTTTGGATCTGATTTATAAAACTGCTTCTGCTCCCTCAGGGAGCAGAAACAGAAGTTGAGTGTTTGGGTGAAAATGAAGAAGTGATTCTGGTGCTCTAATTTCCTCCTAAAATCGGTTTTTTTAGAAGCTGGGGGGTACCAGCTTCTGAAAACTGATTCTGATTCTGCTTCTGCTTTAAAAATGAAGCAGAAGCAGAATCAATTCAAAACACCCCCTTACTTTATGCACTCCGACAATTACTTTGAACATATTTGTATAAATAAAAATGACATTATATTTTTCCATCTTTCTATTATATTTTGGATTTTCATTCTAAAAGCTCGATAGAAGAAATAGTTCAGAGCTTAATACTCCCCGCAAGATGTTGGTTCCATGGCCAATCTTATAGTCAGTGTGGGACAGCTTAATGTCTCATAAGAATGATTTGGAACCACACTAAATTCATCAAATTTGGCATGAGATAATATTAGTAGAATATATCGAAATGGAAAGATGAAACAATCTTAGTGGAACCAAACTTGTAGCAGACCAAACTTGTTGTTTGTGTGTTCGTTTTAGAGATTTATGAGGATTCAAGTGTTCATTGGAGCTTCATTGGCTCTGATATATGTTAAGCCTAAGGTTTCATCCTAATGAGTTAATCTAATAATAGTGTTCCAATATTTTTATATGTTAATTTGTATTTTTATACGTAACCCATTTGAGATAGGTGAATACTTTCTTCATGAGACTTCAACTTTCTAGTGAGCTCGTATAACCAAATGATACACCATCTTATGTTATTTGTTTATTTTTGGATACTTTTTACATACCTACATTCCTCATATGTCAAGAATTCACAAATAATTTATGTCTTGCCGTAGACTGTTAAATAATGGATAAGGTGTAAGCGATTTTATCTCATTTCTATCAAAGATTTAATCTTGCCTTGAGTTTTTCTTCTATTCTAGACACAAGTGCCTTTTTTATCATCAAAACAAAATCGCTTATATTAATATCATTAGGAATCGAATCGTTACAACAAACTCAAAAAGACCAACCTTGATAATAACTATCCATAACCAACTAGCACTATAAACCCTATGACTAGACTCAGAGACGATGATCACTCTGAAAGCGCAATACGAATCGTTAACCACCAAGCAGGTGTGACACACCAATCACTGGCCATATAGATCCTTCTAATGACATACTCCCTCTGTCCCGAAAAAGTTGGCCAAATTTCCTTTTTGGATGTCCAAAAAAGATTTGTCATTTCCATTTAAAGTAAGGAATATGTGGCTAAAACTAATTCTCTCTTTTATGCACAAATTTCAACCACACAGTTTTTACTTTATTAATCCACGTGAAAGTCAACTTTGGCCAACCTTTTCGCCTTTTCGGGACGAAAGGAGTAATATCTAGCAGAATTGTCAATCATAATTGTAAACCCAAAACTAAAGGCACCAACAAAAAACAGAGCAACATAAAACATAACGCAAAATAAAATCATAAAAAATTAAATAATTGATAATTCTTCCAAACCCTAGCACCTCGATCCCTCCAAGGCGGCGGTTCAGGATAGAGGTGGACCGTCGATCTGTCTTCTACCTTGCTCAACCCTTCACCTCTCTCCATCTTCTCGTAGCCCGTTCCGCCTCCACTACCACCACCGCCCTCTACCCATGTTGATTCGTCATAAACTAACCCTTCGACCTCCTCCTCAACTACGAGAATGAGACAACGCTGCTCTAGATCATTCATAGAAGACGTTATTATTGTTTCTTGAACCTTGGATTCGATTCCAAAGTTGCAACCGCACTCACGCTTCCTTAAAAGGCACTCTAGAAATCTAGAGAAGAAGAGCCGCACAAACAATTGGTGGAACGAAACCCTACGCGACGGCAAAGCCGCTAGGGAGACAAAACCCTACACGACGCTAAGCCGCTACGGAGAAACATAACGATGGGAGAAGCTCCTGAGACACAAGTGCCCATTAAAAAATAAATATTGAGATAATGTGAAAATATAATGAATAGAGGAGATCCTCTTAAAAACATATAAGGTTCATATAAAGTAATACTCTCTCCGTTCCTATTATAACTTCCAATTTTCTTTTTTTAGTCCATTCCGATTAAAATTAAACTTTCACTTTCCCTTTTTGGTAAAGAATTTGTGGTTTACAACATTTTCTTACACATTTCTCTCTCCTCTGCAAAACTCTCCACCACACAATACACACTATCTTAAATTGTATGTCAAACCTATTTGAAAGTTACAATAGGAACGGATGTACTACTGGTTCTATTTGACTGTCTTACTATATGATTTTGAGCAAGTGACGCGTTTGCACTAGAGAATCTTTTGCAATTTACTATAAAGTATATTAACACCCAAACAAACGGTTTAACAATTTGAATTTAAATATAAAAGTGTCAAGATATATCAAATTTAGGTGCGCTCATGAGTATTTGAATTGCATCAAGACATCCATCCTTTTGTTTATGCACTCACCTTTGCTCATTCTCAAATTCAGTTTTTTCGATTATATTACAATTACTAACATATGATTATTTGTTATTATAAAAAAGAATAAATTAATATCCGCTCAAACATAGTAAATCATAAAGTGGACTTTATTTAAGAGTGAAGTAGTAATAAAATGCATTTTTGTGTTCAAAATGTTTCTTATTCCGTATTTTGAATGTCTAACAAATACTCCATAACTCATTATAGTTCAAACTCATGTTGGAAAAATGTGTTAAAATTGCATTAAATGGTCATTTTGGGGCAATTATTTGAGTGGGGTCCACTTCCGATTTGGGTCGGGTCAAAGTGGTTTCGGATTGTCCTTGTTAAAGGCTACAATTCGATATATTGTACGCTCAAAACGGATAACGGGTGAATGAGAAATTGATTCTCGAAGTTTGCTCGTTGAAATGGAAAAACTGGGAAAATGATGAGTTTCTAGTGTGTTTTATCCCACACCGAAAAACTCAAGGGATTTTCACTCCCTTATAAAGGGAAGCCTCTTTTAAGGAGTTAAGATTCCTAAAGGGAAAGGCTCTCTCTTACGCGCAAGGGGGTGCCGATCAAATCCCGAAACATGGAAGAAAAACCGCGACTCGTGTGCGCGAGCGACCTGCGGACACGAATGCCGTCCAAAAATCTATCTCTCAAGAGATACAGTTAATTTTTGTTTTCTTCCCGAAACGTTTATTTTTTCCCAGAAGTGCTCCGGACAGAAACCCTCCAAGGGGGTTCTGTTGGCTTCGGACAGAAACCCTCCAAGGGGGTTCTGCTGGCTTCGGACAGAAACCCTCCAAGGGGTGTTCTGTTGAGGTCTTCTGTCGCGCACTTCTTCCGTTACAACAATTAATGCCCAACGTTCTTCTCTTTTAATGCTGCGTTAAATGGACAGTTTATGGACGATTCAATGCCCAACGGACTGGTCATTGATGTCCAACTTTCAGATCCTGGGAAACGATTGTTGCAACGCTCCTAGCACCGTGGGAGGCAACAAATACGTTTTAAGGAAATCGTGCGTAGCACGAGCTTTGGCTAATTCTGCTTCATCTCCTTTCTTGTTTTTCTCTAGTCATTTTATTTAATTAAATTATTTTAATTAATTTTCTTTATTTTCCGAAACACACCCAACAATCTTAAAACGTATTTGTTGAGCTTGTATCATACGGATACAATCTTAAAACGTATTTCTTGATTGTTGTACTGCGGTAAACAATCTAAAAACGTAGTTTGTCACTTTGGTGAACGAACTTAATTTTTGTGTTTTCGGAAAAACGTTAAACAACGAAAATGACTTCTCAAGAAAACGAGATTGGTGTTGGGCAGAATGTTCTGAACGACAATCACTCTGAAAGCGGAGCACCGGTGAACAATAGTTCACAACGCGGTGCATCTGCTTTGGCCAACCAAAGGGCTATCCCTATGGTGACCGTGCCAAGCAACTCTGTGGAGAAACCCGAGAAATTCAACGGGTTAAACTTCAAGAGGTGACAGCAAAAGATGCTATTTTACCTCACTACTCTCGGTCTTGCTAGATTCTTGACCGAAGATGCGCCGGTAGCAACCGGGGGTGAGGTGGATGCGCAATCTTTCAACGCGGTTGAAGCTTGGAAGCATTCTGACTTCCTTTGCTGAAACTACATGTTGAACGGACTGCATGATGCTTTGTACGACGTGTATAGCAAATTAGCTACGGCTAAGGAGCTATGGAATGCTTTGGACCACAAATATAAAAGCGAGGATGCCGGCGCAAAGAAATTTGTTGTTGGTCGATTCCTTGACTTTAAAATGGTGGATTCGAAGACGGTCTTGAGTCAAGTTGAGGAGATGCAAATGATCTTCAACGAAATTCGAGATGAAGGAATGACAGTTAGTGAGTCTTTCCAAGTGGCGTCAATTATTCATTTATTGCCGCCGGCTTGGAAGGATTTCAAGAACTACCTTAAGCACAAGCGAAAGGAAATGAACTTGGAGCAATTGATCCTCCGTCTGCGGATTGAAGAGGATAACCGGAAGAATGATGGGAAACTCCCAATTGTTCATGGCGCCAAGGCCAACGTGGTGGAGCATGCAAAAGGCTCCAAAAATAAAAATAATGGGAAGAGCAAGCTCGGTCCCAAGGGAGGCGTTTCCAAGACGAAGTTCAATGGAAAATGCTTCAATTGCAACAAGAATGGACACAAGTCCTCGGATTGCAAGGCACCACGG